GCTGCTGCTGCTTCTTGTGCAGCTGCTGCTTCTTGTGCAGCAGCTGCGGCTGTGCGCAGTAGCGCTCCAGCAGCAGCAGCGAGCAGGCGCGCAGGCAGCACGCTTCTGTAATGCCGCCTAGCTGCTGCCGCTGCCGCTGCACGCCAGCTGGTGGCGCCGCGTAGAAGCCTCGCCCGTTGCATACAAACGCCAAGGCGTCGACCAGCTGGCTCCCGCACAGAGTCAAGGCCGCGCTTTGGTGGTGGAGTAGTACGCACAGCGCCAGCGGCGCCAGCAGCCACAGCCGCTGGGGACGCGGGTGGCGGGAGGCCATGACTCTGTGCAGCAGGAGGCCCTGCTGCTGCTGCTGCTGCTGCCGCCCCCGTGGGTTGTTGTTGTCGCGGTGACGGTGGCAACTGCGAAGCGCGCGCGTCGCTCTCTCGGGGGGGGGAGAGTGGGGGGAGTGTGGGGGAGAGTGGGGGGGGGGAGAGGTGGGGGAAGTGGTGGGGGGAGAGTGGGGGGAGTGGTGGGGGGAGAGTGGGGGGGGGGAAGAGTGGGGGGAAGTGGTGGGGGGAGAGTGGGGGGAGTGGTGGGGGGAGAGTGGGGGGGGGGGGGGAGAGTGGGAGGGAAGTGGTGGGGGGAGAGTGGGGGGAGTGGTGGGGGAGGTGGGTGGGGGGGAGGAGGTGGGAGGAGTGGTGGGGGAAGGTGGGGAGTGGTGGGGGAATGTGGTGGGGGGGGAGAGTGGGGGGAAGTGGTGGGGGGAGGGGGAGTGGTGGGGGGGATGGGGGGGGGGAGAGTGGGGGGAAGTGGTGGGGGGAGAGTGGGGGAGTGGTGGGGGGAGAGTGGGGGGGGGAGGAGTGTGGGGGGAAGTGGTGGGGGGAGAGTGGGGGGAGTGGTGGGGGGAGAGTGGGGGGGGGGAGAGTGGGGGGAAGTGGTGGGGGGAGAGTGGGGGGAGTGGTGGGGGGAGAGTGGGGGGGGGGGAGAGTGGGGGGAAGTGGTGGGGGGAGAGTGGGGGGAGTGGTGGGGGGAGAGTGGGGGGGGGGGGGAGAGTGGGGGGAAGTGGTGGGGGGAGAGGTGGGGGGCGAGAGTGGGGGGGGGGGAGAGTGGGGGGAAGTGGTGGGGGGAGAGTGGGGGGAGTGGTGGGGGGAGAGTGGGGGGGGGGAGAGTGGGGGGAAGTGGTGGGGGGAGAGTGGGGGAGTGGTGGGGGAGAGTGGGGGGGGGGGAGAGTGGGGGGAAGTGGTGGGGGGAGAGTGGGGGGAGTGGTGGGGGGAGAGTGGGGGGGGGGTGAGTGGGGGGAAGTGGTGGGGGGAGAGTGGGGGGAGTGGTGGGGGGAGAGTGGGGGGGGGGAGAGTGGGGGGAAGTGGTGGGGGGAGAGTGGGGGGAGTGGTGGGGGGAGAGTGGGGGGGGGGGAGAGTGGGGGGAAGTGGTGGGGGGAGAGTGGGGGGAGTGGTGGGGGGAGAGTGGGGGGAGAGTGGGGTGAGTGGTGGGGGGAGAGTGGGGGGAGTGGGTGAGTGGAGATTGTATGATCTCCCCTGTCCTACAGAGTGAGTGGAGATTGTATGATCTCCCCCTGTCCTACAGAGTGAGTGAGTGGAGTTTGTATGATCTCCCCCTGTCCTACAGAGAGAGTGAGTGAGTGGAGTTTGTATGATCTCCCCCTGTTCTGCAGAGTGAGTGAGTGGAGTTTGTGTGATCTCCCCCTGTCCTACAGAGTGAGTGAGTGGAGTTTGTGTGATCTCCCCCTGTCCTACAGAGTGAGTGAGTGTAGTTTGTATGATCTCCCCCTGTTCTGCAGAGTGAGTGAGTGTAGTTTGTATGATCTACCCCCTGTTCTACAGAGTGAGTGAGTGGAGTTTGTATGATCTCCCCCTGTTCTGCAGAGTGAGTGAGTGGAGTTTGTATGATCTCCCCTTGTTCTGCAGAGTGAGTGAGTGGAGTTTGTATGATCTCCCCCTGTTCTGCAGAGTGAGTGAGTGTAGTTTGTATGATCTCCCCTGTTCTGCAGAGTGAGTGAGTGGAGTTTGTATGATCTCCCCCTGTTCTGCAGAGTGAGTGAGTGGAGTTTGTATGATCTCCCCCTGTTCTGCAGAGTGAGTGAGTGAGTGGAGTTTGTATGATCTCCCCCTGTCCTACAGAGTGAGTGAGTGGAGTTTGTATGATCTCCCCCTGTTCTACAGAGTGAGTGAGTGGAGTTGGTATGATCTCCCCTGTTCTGCAGAGTGAGTGAGTGGGGGGAGGTTGTATGCTCTCCCCCCGTCCTACTGAGTGAGTGGAGTTTGTGTGATCTACCCCTGTTCTACAGAGTGAGTGAGTGTAGTTTGTATGATCTACCCTGTTCTACAGAGTGAGTGAGTGGAGTTTGTATGATCTCCCCCTGTGAGCCGAAACACACTCACAGGCAAAAAGAGTCACAGACATATACAGAAACCCACAGACACCCACACACACAGAGAAACACACACACACAGAGACACAGAGAGAGAGACAGACACAGAGAGACACACACACATACAGACACACACAGAGAGACACACACAGAGACACACACACACAGAGACATGGTCTCCGGAGGAGCTCACCGATGGGACTTTGCCCAGATATTTCAAGGATTTGTGAGCTCCTCACACAATCCAACCTGGTTAAACCCAGGATGGATCGTAGGCAGGCCAGCCTAAATGTTTCCAACCGGAGAGACACACACACACAGACACAAACACAAAGACACACACACAGAGAGAGGCACACACAGAGACACACACAGATACACACAGAGACACACACACAGAGAGACACACATACACAGAGACACACACAGACACACACAGAGACACACACACACAGAGACACAGAGACACACACAGAGACACACACACACAGAAACACACACACACAGAGACACACACAGATACACACAGAGACACACAGAGAGAGACACACACACAGAGACACAGAGACACACACACACATATACAGAGAAACACACACACATACACAGAGAAACACAACACACACACAGAGAAACACACACAGAGACGTAGGCATATGCACAATCTCGTGACACTCACTCTCCCTCAAGGGCACGACCTCAAGCGCGACCCAGGCTGAGGACAGCGGTGGTGAGGACGAGACGGAGAATCTCACGCGGAGGAGATAGCGGCCACCGGCATCGTCCAGCGCTGAAGAGACGTCGCAGCACGTGTCTTTGGTGGCAGCACAGACGGTCTGCCAGAGGGCGCGTCTGAAGCTGCGCAGACAGAGACACAGGGAGCAGTGGTGAGGGTGGTGAGGAGAGAGTGGGTGAGTGGGTTGGTGGGTGGGTGGGTTGGTGAGTGAGTGAGTGGGTTGGTGGGTGAGTGGGTTGGTGGGTGAGTGAGTGGGTTGGTGAGTGAGTGAATTAATGAGTGAGTGGCTGAGTGAGTGGCTGAGTGAGTGAGTGACTGAGTGAGTGAGTGGGTTGGTAGGTGAGTGGGTTGGTGGGTGAGTGAGTGGCTGAGTGAGTGAGTGGGTTGGTGAGTGAGTGGGTTGGTGAGTGTGGTGAGTGGGTTAGTGGGTGGGTGAGTGGGTTGGTGAGTAAGTGGGTCGGTGAGTGAGTGGGTGAGTGAGTGGGTGAGTGGGTGAGTGGGTTGGTGGGTGAGTGGGTTCGTGAGTGGGTTGACGAGTGAGTGAATTAATGGGTGAGTGCCTGAGTGAGTGGCTGAGTGAGTGAGTGGCTGAGTGAGTGGGTTGGCGGGTGAGTGAGTGGGTTGGTTGGTGAGTGGGTTGGTGAGTGAGTGGGTTGGTTGGTGAGCGAGTGGGTTGGTGAGTGAGTGACTTAATGGGTGAGTGGCTGAGTGAGTGAGTGAGCATCTCACAGTTTGCTCTGAACTCTGTAGGTGACATTCAGGAACGTTGAGTTGGTGGTGGTGGTGGAGTTGATGCTTGAAGGGTCAACAGGTGGGGGTCTCTCTCCTCCACCCCCCACAGGAGCCACTTCAACGGGGGTCCCAGCAAAGCGTCGCCAGGAGGTCTTGAGACTCCAAACGCACATTCAGTAGATACGGCGCAACTGGGCAGATGGGAAAACAACACTCACACACAGTGCGCTAACCACTGCACCACCACTCACACAGTGCGCTAACCACTGCACCACCACTCCCCCCACACACACACAGTGCGCTAACCACTGCACCACCACTCACTCACACACAGTGCGCTAACCAGTGCACCACCACTCCCCACACACACAGTGCGCTAACCACTGCACCACCACTCCCCCCACACACACAGTGCGCTAACCACTGCACCACCACTCACACACAGTGCGCTAACCACTGCACCACCACTCCCCACACACACACAGTGCGCTAACCACTGCACCACCACTCCCCACACACACACAGTGCGCTAACCACTGCACCACCACTCCCCACACACACACACACACAGTGCGCTAACCACTGCACCACCACTCACCGTGGCTGCACGTGGCGAGGTGGAGGAGGTCACGTGTGGAGAGTTTCGACGTCGCCATTAACACCACGTGACCTCTGACCCGAAGTCACGTGCAGAGAAAATCGATACGCGCGTCTCATTGGTCCTCCTCCGTGGAGGCCACGCCCCCTCGAGAATTTTCCGCTCTCCCGATTGGTCCGCCGTGGGGGTGACGTCACGACACAACAAACCCCCCCACCCCTCCATTGCCACGTAAGCCAATCGGCGAACGCCCCACTGGGTGATGACGTCACGTACGCGCATCCTGTAGCCAATGAGCGCGTCCGCCTAGGGACGGATGACGTCATGTGACTCGAGAGGGGGAGGGGGAGGGGCTACACAAGTCGAGGCCGAGACGCTGTAGCAGCTGCTGCTGTAGCTACAGCTGTTGTTGCTGCTGCTGCTGCTGCTGCTGTTGCTGCTGCTGCTGTTGCTGCTGCTGCTGCTGTTGCTGCTGCTGTTGCTGCTGCTGCTGTTGCTGCTGCTGCTGCTGTTGCTGTTGCTGCTGCTGTTGCTGTTGCAGCTGCTGCTGCGTTGCCTGCCGACAGCAGCGACCTGTTGTGAGCATTGCGAGCCCCGCTGCCGTGAAGTTGCGGGGAAAGTATCTGAAGGTGAGTGGGTGGTCCTCCCCTACCTCCCTCCACCACCAGCACCACTCTTTTAAAGGAATAATTGCATCTGCGACGATTGGAGTGGTGAGTGGTGAGGGTGGGTGGTGAGGGTGAGTGGTGAGGGGTGAGGGTGAGTGGTGAGGGTGGGTGGTGAGCGGTTGTTGTGAGGGTGGGTGTTGAGGGTGAGTGGTGAGGGTGAGTGGTGAGCGGTTGTTGTGAGGGTGAGTGGTGAGGGTGGGTGGTGAGGGTGAGTGGTGAGTGGTGAGGGTGGGTGGTGAGGGTGAGGGGTGAGCGGTTGTTGTGAGGGTGGGTGTTGAGGGTGAGTGGTGAGGGTGAGTGGTGAGCGGTTGTTGTGAGGGTGGGTGGTGAGTGGTGAGGGTGGGTGGTGAGGGTGAGTGGTGAGTGGTGAGGGTGGGTGGTGAGGGTGAGGGGTGAGCGGTTGTTGTGAGGGTGGGTGGTGAGGGTGAGTGGTGAGGGTGAGGGGTGAGCATTTGTTGTGAGGGTGGGTGTTGAGGGTGAGTGGTGAGGGTGAGTGGTGAGCGGTTGTTGTGAGGGTGGGTGGTGAGTGGTGAGGGTGAGTGGTAAGGGTGAGTGGTTAGTGGTGAGGGTGAGTGGTTAGTGGTGAGGGTGAGTGGTGAGGGTGAGTGGTTAGTGGTGAGGGGTGAGTGGTGAGAGAGGGGTGAGTGGTGAGGGTTAGTGGTGAGGGTGAGTGGTGAATGGTGAGTGGTGAGGGTGAGGGTGAGTGGTGAGGGTGAGTGGTGAGAGAGTGGTTAGTGGTGAGAGAGTGGTGAGGGTGAGTTATGAGTAAGCTCCAAGATTAATAAACAAAAAATCTCGACAAATGAAAGTGCATGCGCAGTAATAGAATAATAATAATAACGATGATGATCAACCCGTGCTTGTTAAAGTTCAACGCGTTCACTACGATATTTAATTATCTCTCGTTGAAATAATCCCGCCAAATTGAGTCGTTGATTAGGTCAGCTGTTAATTAGTAGCGGGCCAATTAAGACGTCGTTAATTAGGTCAGCTGTTAATTAGCCTGAGGTGTTGACCTGAGGCAAATTAATTAAGCAACGTGCTCATTCAATTACAAATTGCGTGTATCACGTGAGTTGACTCGGGTTTTAAAGACCTCTTAATATCTCGATTTAAAGCTTTGGTGACTGCAGGGATTCATCTTCTTGGTTCTTTCGGTAAAGTCACGTAGAAGGGAAATAATAAAATAAAACATAATAAAATAATATATTTTTATGTTTTATTTCTATTATTTTATTACTTCCCTTCTACGTGACTTTACCGAAAGAACCAAGAAGATGAACCTCTTAATATCGTTGGAGATTGTCATTTATTTAGCTAAGAGTGAGTGGCAAGCTCGACTGGCCACGATGATTCATAGATGTTTGCCTTTTGCTCATTTAACTCTGAGTAACGTTACCTGTGATTGCTTTTTAAATCCTTTATATTAAGTTCACTTGCTTGCGCGCTTACGACCGTGCAAATCTTTCGGTCGTTTTTTAACCCACTTCCCGTGATCCAATCGAGCTGACATTTTGCACACAGACTCGTTGTGCGTGACAATGCATTTTCGTGAAAAAATGTTTCCAAAGTTTTCCACTTTTTAGGAAAAAAAAATTTCATATTTAATTTAAAATACCAATGTGATAAAAATGAAACTCTTACTCAAGAAAAACAGAAATGAATAATAAAATAAAACCGATGCCACGCATATAAAGGATTTATAGTGAAAAACGTTGTTTTTACGGGTTAATTTTTACTTAGTTACAATGACACTGGTCAGTCTAGTGAATGGGTGGCACAGATGCTAATGCAACAGCAATGCCATTTCGAGGGTGTGGAATTCATCCTGTTATGTACGAAACTTGAGAACCCTAGCTACATACAATGTCTGCTGCCAGTTTTATAGGGCTGAACATTGAAAATGTCTAAGTGTACAATTATTGCGATTCTAATGTTTTTAAACTATTTTATCTTTTCCTGTAATTTCTTGAAATTCTTTTTTGGCTGGTTAAGTAAAAACATGCCTTACAATGGCTGCCCATAAAAAAATTTGTTTTAATGCATTTGTTTTCTGGCCATTTGTTTTAGTGGCCAGGTACTGGGCCGATTCTGCTGCGAGACCCGAGTGTGTGCTTCGCCGGGGAGAGATGTAAAAATGTAGGTGAAAAATTAAATAAAAATTTATAAAAATAAATTAAATTACGACGTTTCGGAAGCAACACAAGCTTCCATCTTCAGGTGAAACTGTCACAGCAAAATATCTGTTTCACCTGAAGACGGAAGCTTGTGTTGCTTCTGAAACGTCGTGATTTTTATTTTATTTTAATTTCATTTTTTACCTACGTGACTTTACCGAAAAAACTAAGAGTATGATTCCTTGCAGTCGCGAAAGCTTCAAATCTCGAAGATATCAAAATGGACGAGCAGTGCATGCATCATGACGATGAGGAGCTGCAACAGCAGCAGCAGTCTCCAAACAATCGGAAGGCTCCTTCACTCACCACGCAGAATGCAGCTCAGTCTGTGCAGCAGTATCCTCCTGCCTTGGCAGAGGCAGCAACCCAGACTTGTCAGTCTCCACAGGCTCAGCCAGTTGAGCACACCCCACAAGTGCCTAAGGTGTCTTCTGGCAGCAGTCAGCGACCGAGTGGAGAGGCGGCTTCTGATCCAAGCTCCCAAGGTGATCACTTTGACTGCCCCTTGTTCACACACACGTGCTGTCTAGCTATTAAGACATATTTGAGGTGTTTGTAAATTATATAATTTCACTAATAGGGGTTTTCCCCTTTTTTATGGCAACAAAACTGACACCTTTTGCAAGGAATCATGCTTACATTAACCACAATACCTGCAGTCAAATGCAAACAATAAACACAACTCTGATAATGTATGCATTGTCTTTGAAACTGATTGGTCCAAACCAGAGACAGCTTTCTTTAGAGTCCCGTCTCATATGGTTTTCGACCAGATGACACCAAGTATTGTGGTTAATGTAAGCATGATTCCTTGCAAAAGGTGTCAGTTTTGTTGCCAGAAAAAAGGTGAAAACCCCTATATTTTAGTATATTTTGGTACTGGCAAAGGAGGTCCCATGATGACGCCTTTTGGCGTCATCTGGTCGAACACCATATGAGACTAAGCTCTAAAGAAAGCTGTCTCTGGTGTGGACCAATCCGTTTCAAAGACAATGCATAAATTATCAGAGTTGTGTTTTTTGTTTGCATTTGACTGCAGGTATTGTGGTTAATGTAAGCATGATTCCTTACAAAAGGTGTCAGTTTTGTTGCCAGAAAAAAAAAGGGGAAAACCCCTATTGGTATATTTTGCTACTGGCAAAGAAGGTCCCATGATGACATAATTTCAATGTATTATTCTGAAAGAAATGGTCCCTGCGTGTACTCGCCTTACCTATCCGCTTTTTGCCACTTAACCAAATCCTCAGGCTGCGTGAAAGTGGTGTACGACATGCTGATGACTGCAAGCAACTGCGGCAGCAATTGGCCATCCGACCAAGAAGACATATTTCGCCTCCTGGTAAGTTACCTGCTTTCGTTTAAATTCCTCGCAATCACATGTCACAATAAGCATTTGATGTTTTAAAGAATTTGCTCTGCGGTCTGTATGTATGTAGGTGCACGGGAGAGAACATTTTGAAATATTAAAGAAAATCAAGGAAAACCTGGAGCTGATCCGAACGCTGCCCACGGATGCCAATGTGTTGCGCAACCTGCAGCAACAACAGTACGTGAACACGAAATAGACACATCGCTGCTCGTACGAGACAAGTTCCCGATTGCTGCTGTAATTAAATGGTAGCAACAGAAGGGAAGTAATAAAATGATAAAAATAAAAATAATAAAATATTTCTCACGACGTTTCAGCCACAACGCAAGCAGCCGTCCTCAGGTGAAAACCAGGTCTGTCGAGGAGATAGCGTCTGAATGAAACAGCACACGCGCTTGGAGCATGTATATACGCTGGGTTGGAAGGGGGGGAAGGGCGCCTTGACAAAATAATTTGCACATCAAGAGGGTTAATTTTTTGGGTTTTTTCTCCCTCCCAGATACGTGACGGAATTGCGTGGCAGGCCGTCCAACCTCAGCCGACACGGCAGCGAGTGTTCACAGGAAGTCTTGGCCGGCAGCCAGGGACCCTCCAGTGCCGGCGAAGGTTCCTCATCAGGTGACGCAAGCTCTCCCTGCTCGGCACAGCACATTTCTCTGCACGGAACGTGGCGGCACGCGGTAGAATTGAAAGACGTGACACAATTTGCCACAAAGTGATACGCAGTCTTCTTGATTCTTTCGGTAGTCGTCACGTAGAAGGGAAGTAATAAAATAATAAAAATAAAACATTAAATAATTCTCACGACGTTTCGGCCACAACGCAAGCAGCCGTCCTCAGGTGAAGAACAGGTCTGTCAGACGCTGTCTTTCCGACAGCTCTGTTCTCCACCTGAAGACGGCTGCTTGCGTTGTGGCCGAAACGTCGTTAGAATTATTTTATGATGTTTTATTATTTTATTACTTCCCTTCTACGTGACGACTTTACCGAAAGAACCAAGAGGATGAATTCAATATTACTCGTATATGTGTTGAGGTGTAAATGGTTTTATTGCGAATGCTCATCCACTGGTTGCAGGCGTTGCACAGGATGTTGTGACGGGTGAAGCGAGTGGATCCAATGGTCCCCCACGGCCACCGGACGGAGACAACCCACGGGCCCGGCTTGGAACCCTGCCGGACAGCGGTAAGCCTGGCAACGCTCTTTACAAGTAAGTGCCCTTTAGGTGCATCATCGTCGCCACCTTTAAACATCGTCGTCATTTTTCGATTTAAAGCTTTCGTGACTGCAGGGATTCATCTTCTTGGTTCTTTCGGTAAAGTCACCACGTAGAAGGGAAGTAATAGAATAATAAAAATAAAACATAATAAAATAATATAATAATATATTAAAATAATATAATAATGTTGCTTTCCTTCTACGTGACTTTACCGAAAGAAGCAAGAAGATCGTCATCATTCACGCTTTGAAAAAAATTACAAATAAATGAAAGGGATTCTTTGCTGAAATAACCTTTTCTACTCTATGAGACATCTCTTTTAGCGGTGGCAAAATATAGTAGTAGGTTTTTACCCTTTTAAACTGGTACAAAACTGACACCTTTACACAAGGCATCATACACCTTGAGACATCTCCTTTACCAGTGGCAAAATATAGTGATAGGTTTTTACCCTTTCAACTGGTACAAAACTGACACCTTTATACAAGGCATCATGTTTGCAATGACCACAACGCAAGTAGTCAAAAATGCCAACAAAAAGAAGCAACTCTGATAATGATAATATGCACTGTACTACTAAACCTTTTCTACTGTTGCGTCTGCACGCTCCATTCTTTTTCATGATGTATCACTGCTTTATTTAAATGGCTTATCCTTGACGTATTCTACACTGCAACATCTTCCCTAGTCACTGGGTAGGTGGGTCGGTATCGGCCTCGGATATTCTGATGAGCACTCTACACTGCATTAGATATTTTTAGTTGACTTGCAGTGTTTATAACACTCCTTTATTATATACGAGTCTGGGTTCTTCAAGTGTTTAGTTTGATCGGTGTATACTCGACTACAATACTTGAATACGTGAATTAAAACAAAGCAAAGTTCATCTTCTTGGTTCTTTCGGTAAAGTCACGTATAAGGGAAGTAATAAAATAATAAAAATAAAACATAATAATATAATATACATGATAAAATAATTCTCACGACGTTTCAGCCACAACGCAAGCAGCCGTAACGTCGTGAGAATTATTTTATTATGTTTTATTTTTATTATTTTATTATGTTTTATTTTATTACTTCCCTTCTACGAGACTTTACCGATAGAACCAAGAAGATGAATCCCTGCAGTCACGAAAGCTTTAAATCGAAAAGCAAAGTTCGTAATGCAGTTTGGGCTGATTTTTGCACTTGGATTTCCAATAAAAAAAAGTCATTATTTTCCATAGGGATATACAGTACAAGCAATGTAAGTGTTGCTTCACATGTTATTTCTAATCGCAATGTTTACGGAGTAAAAATGTGCAAGTTAATGTAATTCAGCCGTACAAAGTACTTTTCGTGCTTCTTGTATTTGGTATTAACATTTTGGAGCCTTGTGTGTGTGTTGTTTTTTGTGTCTCAAGCTTCCTGAAACAAATAGACTGCTTGGAGTTTTTGGAGAATTTCACTTCACGTGGATTGTCGAGTGTCCAACAGCTGATGAACGTCACTCTGCAGGCAAGTTCCTACGGACGCTTTCACGCAAACTACGCGTGTTTTTTAACGAATACAGGATTGGGATTTATTTCTAAGTTTTTCTGCAACATAAAAAAATGCACAAAGAAGCTTGGAGAAGATGGAAGGTTGGAATTAAACTTGTAAAGAGTTAATGCGTGTGTAGGTGAGGGTGAGTGGTGAGGGTGAGTGGTGAGGGTGAGTGGTGAGCGTGAGTGGTGAGGGAGAGGGGTGAGTGGTGAGGGAGAGGGGTGAGCGTGAGTGCTGAGTGGTGAGGGTGAGTGGTGAGGGTGAGTGGTGAGTAGTGAGGATTGTAGTGCCACAAGAGGGGGCTCTGGGACCCTAGGCAGAGAAGCCCTTGGCGGCAGGCGCTAGGATCCCAGGCACCCCAGACAGCTAAGCCCCTTGGTGCCACCAGGGGGGGGGCTGTGTGTGCTCTGTGGGATACCTGGGGGCGCACACAACCCCACCCCTCGTTGGGCACGAGGCATAAAAGGGCAGCTCCCTGGCCGATCAGGGCCAGTCGCAGGTCAAGACCCGCCAGCCAGCCAGCTTAGGACCCTGTACCCCCTCGTCCCGCTTGTCCTTGTAAGGGCCGGGACGCTGTGAGGGCCAGTGGTGGGACTCTGGGACTCCCGGCTCTACGTCCTTGTGAGGGCGAGTTCCGAGGAAGCCAGAGTCCAGACCCGCACCTTGGCTGGGTCGGACCTTGGCTGGGTCGGGTCAGGTAGCCTCCCCTAGGGGGATTGTAGCCGGAGGACCCCAGAGCATAGCCAGAGTAGTGTACCTAGGCAGTGTACCTAGGCTGTGTACCTAGGCTGTGTACCTAGGCTGTCTACCTAGGCTGTGTATCTAGGCTGTGTACCTAGGCTGTGTCGCTAGGCTGTGTACCTAGACTGTCTACCTAGGCTGTGTACCTAGGCTGTGTACCTAGGCTGTGTACCTAGGCTGTAACAGAGTATCAGGACTGTTGGAGTGTTGTATTGTAATAAAGAAGTTACCTCTACAAGTGTCTCCGGAACCCATTACACGTGGATACCGAAACATGCAAATAAAAAACATTGACAACTGCAAAAAAGTAGATGGGCTTGGGCAAGGGAACATCACTGGACAGCATTGTGGCTGGGAAACAAGACCAGTGTTGGAATGGCATTCAAAGTAGAGCACACATCACCAAGATGACCACCACAGAGATTCGAGTTGTGAGAAGATTAGTTCGTGTGTAGTTGATAGATGGATCGTGGTCACATAGCTCGAGTGAGGAGGCTGAGGAGTCCTGATCCAGTAGTGGGTACAAAACAAACACATTCCTCCTGCGGAGGGAGCGGGTAGGAACGTTGGGTTGCTCGGTCAATGGCCTGCAGGGTCAACGGCGGCGTGGTGTATTCCGCAAATATGGCCGACTGTGAGGGCGGGCACAAGCCGTCGTGAGTAGGTGAAACGTTGAGTTTTATAAGGGCACCACGGGGTGACCAGCCCCTCCCCACCCAGCCCCTCCCCACCCTCCCCACCCAGCCCCACCCTCCCCTCCACCCAGCCCCTCCCCACCCTCCCCTCCACCCAGCCCCACCCCTCCCATTTTTGGATGCACGATGGACAGACACAATAATCCCCTGTGGGCTGGTGGAACCAGGTGGTTCCTACCGGTAATACCGACTGATTTTGTACATTAATTGCTCTGAGGAATACACGTCGTCAGAAATTTGAAGAATGTTGTATCGTACACTATGGGAACCTCATTTGCCAGTAAAAATATCATAATTGTTTTTTTACCCTTCTATCTGGCAACAAAACTGACACCTTTTTACAAGGAGTCATGTTTGTATCGACCGCAATACCTGTCTCGGGTGTGGACCAATCAACTTCAAGGACAGTGCATACATTATCAGAGTTATGTCTTTTGTTTGTATTTATGACTGCAGGTATTGCGGTTTATACAAACATGACTGCTTGTAAAAAGGTGTCAGTTTTGTTGCCAGATAGAAGGGTAAAAAACCAATTATCAATGTTGGATCGCTGAACAAAATTTGGTGTGTGTGCATATTTTCTGTGTTTCGCTGGATTTTAGGACTTGGATGAACTGGGAGTCCAGAAGCCAAAAAGCGACTGCTATTGAGTGGAATCGAAGAGCATGGCGTGTCCACCACGATCTCCAGCGAGACGACACTGCAGCGCTCGTCCAGTGAAGAGACAGTCCACCTCAGCTCCGAGGACGACGACGATGACGGTATCGACACCAAGGACGGCATCCTTGCCAAAGTGTTCCCAGCGCTGCGGCCCTTGGCAGGAATCTGTCCTCTGTCGGCAATCGGTATCGCAAAAGCAGCATTGCCAAATACAATTTGCGAGCGCACGCTCGCCAAGCCGTTGCACTTCCTCGTGCTGGCAGCTGGGGAGGCAGTAGCAGCCTGGAGGTGCCCAGGAGCAAGATGCCAAAATTGTCTTCATGCTCTGACATCGAAGAAGAAGAGGGGCTGGAGTGAGGAGAGGAGGGGGGGTAGCGATAGATGGATGATGGTGGGAGGTTGTGTGGGCCGTGGGATGCACTTTGTATGAAAAGCCCTTGGGGTAAATAAGCTGGTGTCTTTTGATTGAAAGCTTTCGTGACTGCAGGGATTCATCTTCTTGGTTCTTTCAGTAAAGTCACGGTCGACAGACCTGTTCTCCACCTGAGGACGGCTGCTTGCGTTGTGGCCGAAACGTCGTGAGAATTATTTTATGATGTTTTATTGTTATTATTTTATTATTTTCCTTCTACGTGACTTTACCGAAAGAACGACGTTTCGGCCAGAACGCAAGCAGCCGTCCTCAGGTGAAGAACAGGTCTGTCGAGAAGACAGTCTGTTTTTATTTATTATTATTTTATTTCCATTCTACGTGACTTTACCGAAAGAACCAAGAAGATGAATCCCTGCAGTCACGAAAGCTTTAAATCGAATTTCCTTTGAGCTTGCTTGCATAGTTTTTTTTTACAGAATGCAGTCAATAAAATATAAAGCAGCATCTTGGCTTTACTACCCAAGGCAGGAACTTGTCTCTTCCAAGAAAGAAGTGACTGACTTGTCAGTTTTGTTCCTTCTTAATTTTGGAGCTTTCGTGACTGCAGGAATATTCTTTGTTTTTTTCGGTAAAGTCACGCTAAAGATAAAACGTGCCGTTTAAGTCATCTGGAGTTGAAATATACAACACGTTTTGTTTCCATGCAGAGGAGATAGCCATGTTCAGAGCAATGTGCTTTTTTGTTGTGTTGCATTTGCTCGACTGTTCAAAGATCGTTTCAAATTTGCATCTTTGGGAAGGATGAACACGAAGTGGGAAGGTTTTGCAAAATCAGATGTTCTCATACTCCAGGAAGATTGTTGTACGGGGCTGTCTGCTCTAACCTACTTGATAACAACCCCAAAAATGCCTAAATAAAGTTGATTTGTGACATGTTCCATTCTGCAAAGTTTTATAGACTTTGCTGCTGGTAGCAGATGTAGAGAGAACAACACCTGTCTACACTTCGTGTTCATGGAACTGTCTTAAGCGTATATATGCAGTGGGTTTTTTTTAATCCTTTATATTAAGTTCACTTGCTTGCTTGCTTAGGACCGTGCAAATGTTTTGGTCGTTTTTTAACCCACTTCCCGTCATCCAATCGAGCTGACATTTTGCACACAGACTCGTTGTGCGAGACAATTTATTTCGTGAAAACATTTTGTTCCAAAATTTTACACTGTTTAGGGAATTTTTTTATAAATATTTAATTACCAAATTGCTTAATGGTGGCAGGCAATCATCTGACCCATAGGTGGCAGCCATCTCAAGCCAGAGGACGAGAGAACTCTAGCCGCCACGCATATAAAGGATTTATAGTGAAAAACTTTGTTTTTACGGGTTAATGTTTTGTTACAGGTAGGAACAAGTTCCCCACTGCCCACCAGGGATTATTTGTCTGTCGTGCATAGCCCCTGCCACCGTGTAGCACGCTCGCGGATTGGTTGAAGTGCGTCACGTGACCGCGAGCTTTTCTGCCCAACCAAGTTCCTAGCTGGCCACTGTGAAGGAACGTGATTGTGCTGTGGATTCAGAAACCCGAGTTTGAGGGTGACATCCGAACTGCTGATTGTTTGGGCGCTGACCACTGGTGAAGTACCCGTCTGGTCACTCACTGCCTTCATCTTGGAGTGGATTGAAAAAGGGCTGTTGATATTATTGAGCTTTGATTAAAAGCCAAAAACCTTTAAAGTACAATTTCAGAATTGTTTTTCTGGATAAACCACTCGGAAAAAATATATCCAATGTTTGAGTTTGCATACGGAGCCCAAAACCACCTGTACGTTTTGCAATGTGCTTTATATTTTGTAGCAATCGCTGCCTTTCATGTAAACTGGTACCAGGTGCATACAGCGCATGGGAACGTTCAATTCGAATGTGCAATTCCCTGGAATAGCTACAGTATTGATTTGTTTAAACAAGTTTTGACAATAAAAAAAACTCTCTTTGAACCGTTAACACGATCTTTTCTGACGGTGTTTTTTAATCCAATGTGGCGCGATAGAAATATTTTATTTGCCTCGTACACGGGTTCGATATTGACGGAGCACAGGCGAGTATCACTTTGACGCTGTGGTGGATTGAGCGCAGATAGTTTGCGTCAGGGGTAGCTGAGCGAATCGCCGTGTGGTAATGATGCCTCCAGGTGTGTCAACCGGGATGTTCTGTTCTGGATCGCAAACAACAAAGTACCTAACACTCACACACACACAGACTCCTACACACACCTACACACACACACCTACACACTCACACAGCTACACACACCTAACACTCACACACCTAAACACACACCTAACACTCACACACACCTAACACACACACAGACTCCTACACACACCTAACACTCACTCACACACACCTAACACTCACACACACCTAACACTCACACACACCTAACACTCACACACAGACTACTACACACCTAACACACACACCTAAGACTCACACACACACAGACTCCTACACACCTAACACTCACACACACCTAACACTCACACACACACACACCTAACACTCACACACACCTACACACTCACACACCTAACACTCACACACACACACACACCTAACACTCACACACACCTAACACTCACACACCTAACACTCACACACACCTACACTCACACACACCTAACACACACCTAACACTCACACCTAACACTCACACACACCTAACACTCACACACACCTAACACTCACAGCACACACCTAACACTCACACACACCTACACTCACACAACCTAACACCTCACACATAACCTCAACACCTAACAATCACACCTAAACCTCACACGACACCTACAACCTACACACCCCACACACCCCTAACACTCACACCTAAACTCACTCACACTAACACTCACACACACCTAACACTCACACACACCTAACACTCACACACACCTAACACGCACACACACCTAACACTCACACACACCTAACCTCCAACCCACCTAACAAACACACACACCTACACTCACACACACCTAACACACACACACAACCTAACACTCACACACACCTAACACTCACACACAACCTAACACTCACACACACCTAACACACACACCTAACACTCACACACACCGAACACTCACACACACCTAACAATCACACACACCTAACCACCACACACCACACCTACACACACACACCTACACTCGACACACACCTAACACTCACACACACCTAACACACACACACACCTAACACTCCACACACCTAAACACTCACTCACACCTAACACTCACACACCTAACACTCACACACACACACCTAACACTCACACACACCTAACACTCACACACACCTAACACTCACACACACACACCTAACACTCACACACACCTAACACACACACACACCTAACACACACCACACCTAACACTCACACACACCTAACACTCACACACCCCTAACACTCACACACCTAACACTCACACACACCTAACACTCACACACACCTAACACTCACACACACCTAACACTCACACACACCTAACACTCACACCCACCTAACACACACACACACCTAACACTCACACACCTAACACACACACACCTAACACTCACACACACCTAACACTCACACACACCTAACACTCACACACCTACACACACCACACCACACACCACACACACCTAACACTCACACACACCTAACACTCACACACCTAACACTCACACACACCACACCACACACACACCTAACACTCACACACACCTAACACTCACACACACCTAACACTCACACACACCTAACACACCACACCTAACACTCACACACACCTAACACTCACTCACACCTAACACTCACACACCTAACACTCACACACACACACACCTAACACTCACACACACCTAACACTCACACACCACCTAACACACACACACACTAACACACACACTCACACACACCTAACACTCACACACACCCCTAACACTCACACTAACACTCACACACACCTAACACTCACACACACCTAACACTCACACACACCTAACACTCACACACACCTAACACTCACACACCTAACACTCACACACACCTAACACTCACACAGGTGACTGATGGATGAGCGGGAGCGGCGCTTTGTAAACTCGCCTTCATCGTCTCCCTCGCCGACTCGCCGAGTGTTTGTGTGTTGTTGTTGGAAACGTCCCGACGTCAGATTGAAGCTTGGACGGGCGAGCCAAGGGAAGCTCCAGCAGCGGAAGAAACTCGTCACGTTGCAGACACCGTGTGACGCGTACCACGTGACAGAGACGCCAACTCCCACGTGCCCTTGAATGCCCCTTCTCGGTTCAAGCGGCGCTCGTTCTGCACGCACAAAAGGTGATTTTGATGATGAACGAACGAAGGAGCAACGAATAAATAAAACCCGGACGACGCCGTGGCAAATCGGAGTTCTTCTGCTGCCAATTCTCGTCGGCATCTCTCGCGCAACGCGGACCGCACTGCGGCGCGTTCCTCGTCCGTGCCGGCCACACGGTTGATATCGGCAATAACGACGGAGCGAGACACGGAGCGAGATAAAATAGCCGCCTCCTATAATTTACGCTTCAAATAAAAAACAAGTAGAACCCGTAAAAACAAAGTTTTTCACTATAAATCCTTTATATGCGTGGCGGCTAGAGTCCTCTCGTCCTCTGGCTTGAGATGGCTGCCACCTATGGGTCAGATGATTGCATTGCACCATTAAGCAATTGGTAATTAAATATTTTTGTCCTAAAAAGTGTGTGTCAGTGTGTGTGTCAGGCTGTCAGTGTGTGTCAGTGTGGCGAGGAGTGGTGGTGCAGGCGGTTAGCGCGCTGCACTACGAACCCGGATCCCCGAGTTATATTCCCCGCTCACGGGCCAAAACCAGCGACGATTACCTGAACCGGCACTGCGCCTCCCCGGGTCGACTCAGCCTCAAATGAGTACCTGGTGCGGTGTGTAAACATCGCCACTGGGGAGATAAAGGCGGCCGGGCGTGGTGGCTGGCCTCCCAGTCCCTCCTCCACCGTTCCGGCCTTATAGGTGCTCGCTAACAGCACTTGCCCCAACAGCCTGTGCAGGCTACACGGGTGATCTTTGTCTTTGTGTCTTTGGCGCGCGCCCTCGTTGCCTGCGTCCCCAGAGACACTGCCCCCTCCTCCACGATCGGCGTCGTATTGCGCCTTTTGGCGTCATCTGGTCCAACCCATGTGAGACTAGGCTCTAAGGAAAGCTGTCTGGTGTGGACCAATCAACTTCAAGGACCATGTGAGACTAGCAGAGGTGGGACAAAGTCATTGTTATGCAAGTCCAAGTCGAGTTGCAAGTCTTTGTACATTTTGCCGAGTCGAGTCTGAAGTCATCAAATTCATGACTCGAGTCTGACTCGAGTCCAAGTCACATGACTCGAGTCCACACCTCTGGAGACTAGGCTCTAAGGAAAGCTGTCTCGGGTGTGGACCAATCAACTTCAAGGACAGTGCATACATTATCAGAGTTGTGTTTTTGTTTGTATTACGACTGCAGGTATTGTGGTTAATGCAAACATGACTCCTCGTAAAAAAAGGTGTCAGTTTTGTTGCCAGATAGAAGGGTTAAAAACCAATTATCATATTTTACTGGCAAATGAGGTTCCCATGGATATAAATAATTGTTTCCCTTCTACGTGAGTTTACCGAAAGAACCAAGAATTGAATCCCTGCAGTCACAAAAGCTTTAAATCGAAATGTAACTTGACGTAATGTGTTCCTGTCTATTGCGTTTAACAAAACACAACGCACACACACGTAGGAGACACCCCGTGTCACTGGCATGCTATTGAAGGGACGTTTAATCTCAAACGTGAAAACGAAATCACCGACAGCAATAAACAATAAAAACCAATAACACTGGTCAACAAAATATAGATGTACACATTGGCGATAGGGCAACACTCGGGCGGATAACGCATTGATGACACTGGTCAACACAAAAAAAAAATTGTGGCCTGGACTTTTGCAGCTGTTTTAGACATCTCATTTTGATGCTATCGGCATACCCCATTTTCATTGTTTTACCCGAAATTAACTCTGTCACTTAAGATTGCAAGTTGTTGCGAGTCAGTGACTGCTTTAGTGTTACAATACGGTGCTGTATGTTTAGGATAGTGCGTTCATGACCAGTGTAATCAACGGGCCGCTGACGACGTCCCCTCCTCTCTACAGTTCGGGAACCCGCCGTGGGAACGGGGAACTTGCGGCTCTCACGGCCACCAACCCCCCGTCGTCGCGAGGCAGTCGCCAAACGAGACTCATGCTGAGGGGGGGCCCCCGGGGGGCCGAGCCCCCCCTCTGGCCGTCCCCGCTCTCCCGCGCTCTCCGCTCCCGAAGGGACTCGCCAGCCCCACGTCGCCCACGCCCCTCGTGACCCGCCGCAGCCTCTCCGTGACCCGGCTCCACCACCCCGAGCCCTCCTCCCCCCCCTCCCGTCCCCCCCCTCCCCCCCCGCGCCCCCCGAACCTCCCACTGCAATCCCCCCTGTGTGCGCGCAGCCCTCTGCTTGGAGGTGTCTGGCGTTCTCCCTCGGCGTGTGCGTCTGCCGCTCTCGCGAGTCCCACGAGTCCCACGAGTGACGCCGCGTCGCGTCCACCGCTCTCGCTCTCCCGGCGCCCTCCGCCCCTCTCCCCCTCGCCGCCCCCCCCCCCCAGCTCGCGCTCCGGGGCGCTCTCCGCCGCCGCTCTGGGGGGGCTCCCGCTGATGGCCGTGCGAGCCGCTCCTCCGCCCTCCTGCCGCCTCCGCTGTCTCTGCTGCCGCCGCCGCCTCGCTTCATGGCAGATCGCTGCGGCTTCTTGTTGTCGTTGCTGTTGCTGTTGAGGGTGGTGATGCAGCGAGAACAGCTCCCTGTATCATCACAACCATCACCAACCATCACCAACATCACCAACCATCACCACCACCATCACCAACCACCACCATCACCATCAGAACCATCACACCATCACCACCATCACCACCATCACAACCATCACCACCATCACACCATCACACCACCATCACCACCACCATCACAACCATCACCACCACCATCACACACCACACCACCACCCCACCACCATCACCACCATCACCACCCCCACCACCACCATGACCACCATCACCACCATCACCACATCCACCACCATCACAACCATCACCACCACCATCACCACCACCATCACCACCACCATCACCACCACCACCCATCACCACCACCATCACCACCACCATAACCCCACCATCACAACCATCACCACCACCATCACAACCATCACCACCACCATCACCACCACCATCACCAACCATCACCACCACCATCACAAACATCACCACCATCACCACCACCATCACCACCATCACCACCACCATCCACCATCACTACCACCATCACCACCATCACCACCACCATCACAACCATCACCACCACCATCACCATCACCACCACCATCACAACCATCACCACCACCATCACAACCATCACCACCACCATCACAACCACCACCACCACCACCATAACCACCACCATAACCACCACCATGACCACCACCATCACCACCACCATCACCACCATCACCCACCACCATCACCACCACCATCACCACCACCACCCACCACCATCACAACCATCACCAACCATCACAACCATCACCACCACCATCACAACCATCACCAACCATCACCACCATCATCACCACCACCACCACCAACCATCACCACCATCACAACCACCATCACCACCATCACCACCACCATCACCCATCATCACCACCATCACCACCATCACAACCATCACCACCACCATCACCACCACAACCATCACCACCACCATCACAACCATCACCACCATCACAACCATCACCACCATCACCACCACCATCACCACCACCATCACCACCACCATCACCACTACCACCACCATCACAACCATCACCAACCATCACCACCATCACCACCACCATCACAACCATCACCACCACCATCACAACCATCACCAACCATCACCACCATCACCACCACCATCACAACCATCACCACCCACCACCATCACCACCATCACAACCATCACCAACCACCACACCACCATCACCACCACCATCACCATCACCACCACCATCACACCACCATCCCACCACCATCACCATCACCACCATCACCACCACCATCACCACCATCACCACCACCATCACCACCATCACCAACTATCACCAACCATCACCTACACGGGGGATTGTCTGTGTATAGCTACTAACAGCACTTGCCCCTACAGCCTGCTAGAGGCTACACGGGGGACCTTTGTCTGTGTATAGGTGCTACTAACAGCACTTGCCCCTACATCCTGCTAGAGGCTACACGGTGGACCTTTGTGTATAGGTGCTACTAACAGCACTTGCCCCTACAGCCTGCTAGAGGCTACAAGGGACACCTTTGTCTGTGTATAGGTGCTACTAACAGCACTTGCCCCTACATCCTGCTAGAGGCTACACGGGGGACCTTTGTCTGTGTATAGCTACTAACAGCACTTGCCCCTACAGCCTGCTAGAGGCTACACGGGGCACCTTTGTCTGTGTATAGGTGCTACTAACAGCACTTGCCCCTACATCCTGCTAGAGGCTACACGGGGCACCTTTGTCTGTGTATAGGTGCTACTAACAGCACTTGCCCCTACAGCCTGCTAGAGGCTACACGGGGCACCTTTGTCTATGTACTTGATTGACTCACGGGGGGGGGGGGGGGTAGCAGCCCACCCCCAGCCGGCCAAGGTGCGACCTCGGCCGGCTGAGCAATCTAGCGAGACCGGTGGCACTCCCCGGGACTAGGCCTTACCGCAGGGCTCACCGGCGCAACGCTGCGTCGACGTCTTGGGAGGGGGTCTTGATGATGTTCTCCGTCGTTGTGTGCTCACACACTCAACAATGTCCTCGTGTGGAGTGCAGCAGCAGCAGGAGGAGGAGGTCCGACGTCGCGTGCCGACACCTCGGGCAGGAGGCTGCAGGCAGCTGCGATCTCGTGAGATTGGCAGGGCGCGTTTATAATGCGTAGTGCGGATAGGCGACCACGTGACGCGAGTGCGACTCGGATTCCGTAGAACTGATAAGACTGCGCGCTGCGCCGTAGACTCAACACTGCGGCTCAGCCGACGTTTCAGGTCCCCTGGGGGGCGTGCGAGTCACGTGGTGGGGTCTGTGACGTCACGGGCACACGGCTGACTGTTCCACTCCTGCCAAGCTCGATAATATTTTTTTATATTTTTTATTTCTCGTCACATCTCTAACGTCTTAACAGGAGCTTCAAAACAGCAACATCGAGAGCGACAAGAGGTCAGTGTACTTCCAGCTGGTTCACCAATGTGAAGATGTCACAGACACTAACGCTGGGAATTAACATTTAAAATTTGATTTAAAAAAAATATTGCGCTTGGAGAATGCGGGAATCGATCCCACGTATCTTCTTCTTGGTTCTTTCGGTAAAGTCACGTAGAAGGGAAATAATAAAATAATAAAAATAAAACATAATAAAATAATTCTCACGACGTTTCGGCCACAACGCAAGCAGCCGTCCTCAGGTGAAGACCAGGTCTGTCGAGGCGACAGAGTCTGAATGAAACAGCACACGAGCTTGGAGCATGTATATAAGCTGGGCTCTTGACAAAGGAATTTGCATATCAAGATGAATTTAACATATTTATGGAAAATGCAGGAATGTGATTAGTGCTACATATGCCCGTGCATTATGCAGGATTAGCAGCATCAAAGGGAGAGGATATGGGAAATGCAGGAATGTGAATAGTGCTAATCATTCATCAAAGGAAGGGGGTAGGGGTAGCATTAATCAAGGGAAGGAGTGTTAATAGTATGTAGCTGCAGTAACTAAAACCACCACGTAAACAACTAAAGTATAAACTACATAGCATCATCAGTATACTTACTATACTCTACAATAAGCTGAGTTACTAACTGTAAGTTATACATTACAATTCTACGTCGTAAAAATTATATAATATGCTACCATCTTCTTGTTTCTTTCGGTAAAGTCACGTAGAAGGGAAGTAATAAAATAATAAAAATAAAACATAATAAAACAATTCTCACGACGTTTCGGCTACAACGCAAGCAGCCGTCTTCAGGTGAAGAATGAGACACTACCAAACTAGGAGCTTATATAAGCTGCATTGGGGGTTGAAGAGCGCCTTAACAAAAAGAATGTGCATGTGAAGAGGTTACAGCAGCAGATGTTAGTGTAAATGCGTTTGGTATTACCTTAGAGTCGCGGCATCTCTTCAGAAAGGTGAGAGACTCGATTAGCTGAGCCTTCTTATCCCGGAGCTTGTTGAAGGATCTCAAAGTTATGTGGAAACCCTCCCCGTAGAGGCGGTTAAATTTCGATTTAAAGCTTTCGTGACTGCAGGGATTCTTCTTGTTTCTTTCGGTAAAGTCACGTAGAAGGGAAGTAATAAAATATAAAAAAAAAACATAATAAAACAATTCTCACGACGTTTCGGCTACAACGCAAGCAGCCGTCTTCAGGTGAAGAATGAGACACTACCAAACTAGGAGCTTTATATAAGCTGCATTGGGGGTTGAAGAGCGCCTTAACAAAAAGAATGTGTGAAGAGGTTACAGCAGCAGATGTTAGTGTAAATGCGTTTGTATTACTTAGAGTCGCGGCATCTCTTCAGAAAGGTGAGAGACTCGATTAGCTGAGCCTTCTATCCCGGAGCTTGTTGAAGGATCTCAAAGTTATGTGGAAACCCTCCCCGTAGGCGGTTAAATTTCGATTTAAAGCTTTCGTGACTGCAGGGATCTTCTTGTTTCTTTCGGTAAAGTCACGTAGAAGGGAAGTAATAAAATAATAAAAAAAAAACATAAAAACAATTCTCACGACGTTTCGGCTACAACGCAGCAGCCGTCTTCAGGTGAAGAATGAGACACTACCAAACTAGGAGCTTATATTAAGCTGCATTGGGGGTTGAAGAGCGCTTAACAAAA